GTGTGAGTGATGATGAAGATGCCTCATCAATGAAGAAGAATGATATTTATAATGAGGAGAAGATTGTTTATGGGGTGGAAAAGGTGTGAGCCAAAACCTTTTTGCCATGTGGGCCTCACAGTGGTGTGAGGCAACTTGATTCAAAGGGTTCACTTGTGTAAAGTAGAGTGAGAGGAAATTAGGTGTAAAAAAGACCTTAGTCCTTCTGTTTTTTTTTTTTTGAAAGATGACCTTAGTGCTTTAATAGGAATGATAAATTGAACTTACTAAATGGGCTCAATATGTCGATCCAGTACAATTACCCGGTAGGTTGTCTAAACATTTTTCTAGATGATTATGAACTTAGCAAAATAGGTTTTAATTGAAATTTCACGGCATATCACTAAACATATGAATCACTAATAAGTGGTTGTTTAAGTGATCTTATCCGATTCGAATTGAACTAGTCGAGTAATTTGATAAATAATATCAAAAAAAAAAAATTAAGGTATAAGAAAGAAATCCTTTGATTTTGTTTTCACCTCGTGTAATAGAGGTGTAAATGGACCCTTGACCCCAAATTAATGAAAAATATTTCTCTTGGGTCCCTAGATAAATTTGTCTAACTCTGCCCCTATTAACAAGATGGATATGTGAGCGTTAGATTGTTAATTACTTAAAAAAAATAATGATCGACTTGATTAGTTCAGTAGTTCATATTTGTTCCACTTTTAGTAAGATATTATACATTAATATCTTAAAAACCCAGCATAAAATCCTTTCTTGATTGAGGCAATAGGAATGTAGGGTCTGTTTGATTGTGTTCTGATTTTTTTGTTCTTAAAACTGTTTTGTAAAATAGTTATGTAAACAGTTGTTTTCTATATTTTTTATTTTGAAAGTTAAAAACCAAAACAGAAAACAAAAACAACTCAGACATTCTCTAAATTTGATTCTAAAAACAAAAAAACAGTTATAATTTTCAAAACATTTTTTACAAAATAAGCCTTACCAAACGAGTTTTTTAATTTTTTTGTTCTGAAAATTAAAAAACTATTTTTAAAAACAACAATCAAACAGAGCCGTAGTTTCTGAAGGTTCAGATCCTTTAGGTAGTGTTTGGTTGGGGAGAAATTTTTTTAAAGTGGGTAGTTGTCTTTACTAGGAAAGACGTTGGAAAGTTAGTTTGGTAGGAAAGTTTAAAAAAAATTGTTTGGTAGCGCAAAATATTACTAGGAAAATTGGGTTAAAAATTCTGATGTATGTTTGGTTGAAAATAAAATTGTGATGGGAAAAAGAATGCAAAAGACGAAATTAACCTTTCTAATGCTTCACACGTGTATCACAACAAAATTTGCTGTATTTTTTTTTGTTTTTTTAACTAATTATGATTGCAGTTATGGTTAGCTTTAAATTTGTTTCTTTATCTTCTTCACATAAACAGAAACAAAGGTTGTTCAGCAAAGTTTTTTTTTCGTCTATAACAAATCACCCTAAACACAGGGGTATATTTGTCATGCCATTCTCCACCTTTTTCAGTTATCCGATATCCCAAACCAATACCACCTGTTGAAACGGCTTCTTCAACAGTGGCAAAGTCCAATTTGTACACTGCTTCTTGCATTGCAGGGCAAGTGGGTTTGATGGGCATATTTTCCAAAAACCTTCAACCAAACGTGGTTTACTCAGATTCCCACGTGCACTTAGCCAGCAAAATTTTAACTTCTCCCCAACCAAACACTACCTTAAGATTTAATAAGATAGAATATGTCTACATATTTTACATTTTTTTCTAAGCCTGCCGTCGCACTAATAAGTACTCAGTGTGACAATCATATTATAATTATATACTTCAATAAGTACATAGTAATAATATTAAAGTTTTTTTTTTCTCTCTTCTGAACTTGTTGTCTGACGTGAAGAGAGAGAAAAATAACTTTAATATTATAACTATGTACTCCCTGAAATACATAATTATCATATGACTATCGCATTGAGTGCTAATGTGACGATAATACTAAAAATTTGTTCTCTGGGTAGGCAAAGGTTTGTTGATATGCCATGTGAATGATTATTTCGTTAAGGTTTTGATGGTAATAAAGTAACGAGCAAAACCAAGTTAAAGGAAGTTTCAAGACAATAGATTTATAGGATGTAGGGTCTTTGATGTAAATGCAATTAATCCTTGATATCTCATTAAGCTCAAATTTAATTAGTTTTCAAGTCCACTTTAAAATATTTTAAGTAGGTAGCTATTGATCGTGAAAAATGTGGTTGTTTTTACAGAATCTTGTTCCAAAACTTGGAATATGAAAAACTTGTTTGATTCCTTGAAAAATCCAAGTTTTTCTTGTTGGTAATCTACTACCAAAGCTTGACTCTTTCAAAATTTCATTTTTAACATGCTAGAAATCAATTAAATGATTATCATATTACAATGGTTATGTGAAGGCCGCGATCGATTATTATTTTTCAAGACTTGTTTTCTCTTTAAAACAAAAGCTTAATAATTGATTATCATGGTGTAATCAATTATCGATCGTTGTACGTACACATTAATCATTAATCAACTATATTGTTTTCTTATTCTACAATGGATCATAAATATATGACTTGAGACACTAGATAACTTAGCAATCACTGATATGTTGTTTTCTTATTCTACAATGGATCATAAATACAATGGATCATTAATCATCCCAATCATTCTTGATATGTTTTCAAGCTTAATTGAGATATCACCGAGAGCTTGTTAGTGCTTCAAGTTACGAAATCTACTTTTTGTAAGAGATTAAACTCTTCTTTTATCTACTACCAAGTATGTGGATCAATTGGTAAGAGATTGTTTTAGTTTAACCAGTGGTTATAAATTTGAGTTCCACGGAACACAGTTAGTTAAAACTTGGTAAGGAGAGTTTTGTCGCCCATGTGGTCCTACCCGACTCGAATTGATCTAGTAGAGTAATCGATGAATCAATGGATAATATTCAAAAAAAAAAAAAAAAATTCTTCTTCTATCTTGTATTGTTAGGAGTGAGGTATTCCACATGAGAGCTAAGAATGAGACATTCCTTATAAGAGAAACTCACATAAAGGTAAATTATTTCAAGAATGTGAACAAAACTTGGAGTTGTAGAAATACCAAGCACTTGTACTGAAAAATATTGAATGCATTACTTAGTAACTAGGCATAAGTCACAAAAAGTGGTTGAATCAGTATTAATAGTTATTTGCACTTTGCACTTCTTTCTACTTATCTCTTTTAGTTTCCAGCAGTTTAATCTTTTTTTTTAATCTTTAATTTTATAATTATTGGTTATTGATTGAAAAACTAGTCCGAGAAGTGTTTATCATTATTAATTTACTCAAGTCTTATATTAATAACTTGAACAAAAATCCACATGGGAGTGTTTTGTAAAAGAAAAGAAGTTGTTTCAAAATTTGAAACTTCTATAAATTATAGTCTTAGCAGATTAACTCTGAGCATATACCCTATATATTTTAGGTCTTCTGTAAAATTTGTAGGGGTGTAATCATGCAATGTATTTAGTCTATTTTTATATTTCCTCCCTCTCTGAAATAAATACTGTTTATGTTAGACTTTTCTTTGATAGGTAGTCATTATGCTAAGAATTGGTAAAATGTAGTTAGTTTATTGCAAATACACGTTCTTTATGACCTGGTGCAATTGGTCTGAGTATGGTTTTAATTTGGTTTTGCACAATTGATGTATGGTTACAATTTTATCACGTTTTTTTACATCTCACCAAACAGCTCTTATTGAAAGCTGAACCTAGAGATTTAAATTGAAATGTTTTGAATTGATAATGACACCTCAGATTAATTATATGTATTTGATGTTCACCATAAATTATATGTATATGATAAACCTGAAACAAATCACTCTCGTCACATTAATAATTAGCTTCCAAGTTATGTGAACTGTGTTCTAGTTAGGAACTATGCTTTGCCGAAATGATTTGAATGTAAATTGCATCAAGGGCTTTCTGGTTCTAAGTTTGAGCATGTGCAGTGTAACAGTTATTTGAATGAACTTACCAATCCTCAACGTGGGTCAAACCCCTATATAGCAATTTTAAAAGGAATATTATTATGTAACCATCTTGGAATTGGCTTTATATATTCTTAAGGCATATCGAGAGAGAGAAAGAGAGGTGATGATGTGTGTGATGGAGTTGAGCCCTGCAAGTTGTCACAAACATTGAAATTGTAGGCCATTATAGGATATAACTTCTCTACTATTTTGTGAAAAGACAACCCAAGTTAGAAAATCTTATTTTCCAATGTATCATATGAACAGGATAATGAACCTTACATCACGTGAAAATCATTTGTTAATTTGTTTGTTAGCTCTTTAAATGTCCACCAACATGTTGAGTTGAGAAAGTCTATGATTGAGTCTCTACCTTATCGGAGAATGTCTAATCGCTGGAAGCAAGTGGAAAGAAAGTAAAGGACTCAAAAATCTAAGATGAAGCCTAAAAATGGAAAACTGTTAGTGACCTTTCTTCCTTTTCTCTTCATTAAGTTTTGGGATTTCCATCTTTGACCAATAAAATGTTGGCTGGAACTCAAATTTTGGCTCAAGCACGGAACCGTATATAGGTCCTTGCAAACTATATATATATGACAATGAAACAAAAAAACTTTCACTACTAATTACCAACATAAGCTTCTTTGCTAAAAGAAAGGGAAATAAAGAAAAAGAAAAAGAAAAACCAAATTCACAAATTGCCTTTAAATCTTGAAAACTGAAGTATGATACATACATTAACTGTATGACTATAGGAAAAGAAATAGTACAAAGCCTCGTCATCCTTGGTTGTTAGAAGAAAGGCCCAAAAACAAAAAAACAAAACTAAAAACTTGGGCCTTTGGAGAGGGCTTTATCTCTATGCTATCTGTTATTTGTGTATTTTTTACAAGATATTGTTATTTTGTTAATACACAACAAATTCCTGGCTAAATGAAATAACACTGCTTTGTATAGTTTGTGAAATTTAGAACTGGGAAATGCAACGTCTATGGCAAGCAGTGGTGCGTTGTTTCTTTTGCTTAGTGTCTTGTTTCCAAACTTGGCCAATATCTTGAGCGATTTTCATAGCATCATATGAAGCACCAGAGAGCCCTCTCCTTGTGAATCCAACAGCATAAAGTCCAGCATTTCCTTTCCAACCACCAGGGAATGGTGACTTTGGGAACCCATTCTTGGAGAAGAATTCACCTTCCTAAACATATCATGAACCAAAATCACATTAGTTCCGTGCTCCATACAAAAATACCATTTTACTGTTACAAAAAAAGAAAAAAAAAGCTTCTATATATATACATATAATAATAATGAAAAAATCTTATGATGTAGGATAGAACATTTTCTCACCTGGAGCCAAGAAGGGACATTGCTGCGGTAACCGGTTGCAAGAACCACTGCATCAACGTCATGCTTTTCACCATTAACAAGTTCAACATAGCCATTTATGAACCTCTCAATTCCTGGAACAACTTTTATATCTCCGGATCTAATTTTCTCTAAGGTACCAATGTCCAAAACAGGGGTTTTCCCCTGTGTGTTCTTCAGCTTCAATGGACCATCTAATGGTCTTTTGAGCCCCAACTTCTCTATGTTACCAAGCACTAACCATGCAAAGATCAATAGGAGCTTGTCAACGAGCCAAATGGGTAACCATTTCATCATCAAAACCGCCAATTCAAACGTTGACTTCCCAAAAATCTCTTTAGGCAACACATGAACCTGTTTAGCCAAAAAAAAAAAAAAAAAAACAGAACCACCCCAGTTAAACTCCATGTTCAATTTTTTTTTTCTTTTTTTTTTTTTCTCTTTTTTCAATGTTTGAAAACAGAAACAAACACCATTTTAACACTTACCGAGCTACGAACAACCATTGAAGGTGATGCATTGTGGTTGCAAAGGTCAAGTGAGAGTTCCATGCCAGAATTACCACAACCAACAACAAGCACTTTCTTTCCACTGAAACTTTCCCCTGACTTGTATTCACAAGCATGGATTATATCACCTTTGAATTCACTCAATCCTTCAATATCAGGTATCACACACTCAGCATTTTCACCAGTAGCAACCACGAGCCACTTGCAAATGTACTCAAGCTCAGTGCGGTTGGAGCCACTTGTGGCAATGGTCTTAACCCTCCACAACCCACTTGTCTCATCGTACCTAGCAGATTGAACACACTCATTGAATTGTGGGTTGATCTCGAAATGGCTTGCATAGGATTCGAGGTATTCTATGAACTGTTTCTTTGTTGGGTATTCAGGGAAGTCTTGGGGGAATGGAAGCTTAGGTAGTTGGCAAAATTGCTTTGGAAGGTGAAGCTTTAACCTGTCATAGGTTCGCTTTTGCCATAGAGATGCTATGCAATCTGATCTTTCGAGAACCATGAAGGGTACCCCTTGTTCTCTGAGGCATGCTGCTGTGGCTAGCCCTGATGGACCTGCCCCTACAATGATGGGGCCGTTGACCCAAATGCACCTCCTTGAGAACATGTCTTCATGATCAACTAGGCGAAACAAGTTCTCCATTTTTTTAAGAGTTTCTGATGTTTTGTGGGTTTTGGGTTTGTTCTATATGTGAGAAAGTCTGCCTTTTTGATAGTTTGAAACTGGTCTGAATGAAACAATTTTGGAAGTTAAGAGAGAGAGAGAGAGAGAGAGAGAGAGAGAGAGAGAGAGAGGAAGAGGAAGTGTTGGTTTTGTGAGGTTTGAGATTGAGAGGAACTGTGATAGAGAAATGAGAATGTGAGTTTGGATTGAATGGAAAGAAATGAGGGATTGGAGGGACTTAAATAGGGGATTTGGGCATATGAGAGGTGCATGTGATGGAAGTGAAGAGTTAATGAGGTTTCTCCCTTGTTCTCAAGCCACAAGAACATTATTGTCATTATTATTATTATTATTTTGGCATGTGAATATTGTATAACATTATAAGTTGTGTCATTATTTTATTAGATCCTACTACGTTATGCTTAAAAAATTGTGCTAAGATTAGCATATAATTTGGTAAGGATTTATTCTTTCCTTGAAAAGTTTTCTTTCATCATCACAGTCACAATCAACAAAGGACTTTCTTCCTTTATATATATAGAGAGAAAGTTTAGTGTTTCTATACTTGGGTTTTAATTTTTTCATGCAATATGAGAAATTATTTTTATATTGTAGACATATCTTATGTGGGGTCTATATCTATTAAAAAATAAAATAAAAGAAAATATTACACGAAAATTGAAGAGTCACTAGTAGGAGAAAACAAGTCTCCTATGACACGAAAAAATGATTTCTCTTCTATATATATATAAATATCGTGTGGTTTATATTTTATTCTTTTCATATTGACTTATATGAGCTCCATATATTTTTATATATGTATAAGAGATAAATTTATTTCTTATAATATGATAAATACTGAACTCATATAAAAAATATATGAATTTTTGCATTGTACAAAATAAGTTAGGTAACAATTTTCATGCACTCGATACCCCAGCATGACATATGTACAAACCAGTAATAGTCAATGAGGATCTCCCTACTGAGAATTGGGTGTATTTGAATGGGGTGAACAGAGGTCAACGGGTAAAGTCTCAAGAAAAGCAGGGCCAGTTCGCAAGTCTAACCACCAAAATGTAATCATAGATATACTCTAGGTAAGATTTGTGATTCTTTTGGTAAAGAGGGCTATAGAATTAGGCGTACTGTGCATTTAGAAATCCGAACCGAATCAAATTAGAAAAGTAATTCACTTCCAAAAGAATTGAACCGATTTTAAGAAGTTGTTTGGTTTGAATCGATTTGAAGAAAATGATTCCGGTTGTAAATCGGTTTGAAAAAATATGTTCTGATTCAGTTTGGTTTACTTAATTATTTTACATTCTTAAAAATGTGTATGGTTGGATTAAGTTCATTTTCTAGGTTAATTTAAACCAAATTAATAAAATGGTTTGGTTCTTCAACCGAATTGGTTTTGGAAAAAAAAAATCGACTATTAAATTAATTTGATAAAATGATTCAATTCATAAATCAGTTAAAAAAATATAACTCTTTTAATATAATTTGAATATTTCATAACTCTGTTCGGTTATTTTTTTACACTTCCCTATGTAGAATACTGAACATACGAAATACTGAATTCTAAAATGTTTTTCTGAAATGATATAAAATTAGTAAAAAAAAAGTAAAACTATTGTCTTGAGAATGATGTACATGATTAAAAGACCCAATTTGGAAACCACCTGGCAATGATAGTGATGAGTCATCCTCATCTGATTCTAAGAGGTTCACAAAGTAGTGAAAGGGAAATGAGCTAGAAAATCAATCTATATACAATTCGATGATGACGTGGCAGGGAGATGCTGACATGGATAGTCCAAAGCGAGCCCACGAGAGCTAACTGCTATGAGAGGCTCACGTGACGCAGTGTGGTGGGCACCAAAACAATTGGAGATGCGAGTTGTAGGGCTGGTCCAGCCCACAAAGCCCATTCCGCCAACCCGACTTTCACACCACGTAGGGTCCCACATTTGCCAACTATATTTGTTCACTAACTTCCACACTTGCTTTCTACCTTCCAACAAAGAGAAAAACAAAAATCTCCTCTAATCTCCTTTTAGAAACTCTTACCTAAAAGAATTATATAAATATAATACAAATTCTTGCATTTATTCATTGTTACCAATAATGGTTTTGTATGAGTCTTAAGAGGCTCGTTCAATCAACTTTGCAATAAATTTAGATATTGTTTCAATGTGATAAATAAGGAGAGAGAGAAAAAAAAGCGTATATACAGTACTAAAATATAGTGTAGATAGTTCTTTAGCTTGGACCATTAGCTTTAGGAAAATCATACTTTTATGTTGCATGAGATTAATCTCTCATGTGATTCTCACTTTGAAAAATATGCCTTTTTTTAATTTTTTTTTGGTGAAACTCATTTTATTTATCTCTACATGAGAGAACTTCTCTCCTATCACAACACATGAGAGAAGTAATTCCCTTACCTTTAACATCATAGACAAGTTATCCTATAGCAAAGTTGCACGGTAGTATCACTTCGTGCACTTTGACCGGAAAGGCATGTGAATCTGTAAATTAATTAATGTGATTGATGCATATATCACTTTCTCTGAACAGAAGATAATTAATTATACAATTCAACGTGCATGATAATGATAAAGGATATTTAAATCAAGTAGGTAAGTCTTAATAGTCTTCTTCTTTTCTTGGTAGTTTAATAGTCTTTTTTTATGAGTTGTATAACTTTCCTCGGTGTTAACGGTTAGAAAGTTTGTTTCTGCCTACCATTAATTGTTAATTTTATTTTTATAGAAATATAGAGGCATAATATGGTCCGCTAATTTCTAAAAGACAAGCACAATATATCTATCATTGAATGTGATCAAATTATTTATTTGAGATGTGTGTATCATTTTACTTTATTTTAATAAAGTGTAGTTAAAGGCATAGTGTAGTTAATTGAAGGCCTACGTAGGCCATTATTTAATAACTCGTAATGAGAGAATTATTATGTAAATAATTATGTTTGTGGCTAAGTCCCTTGCCACTACTTCAAGGTAAATATCTAAAGATATCCTATTAGGTTTAACACATATTTTAGACTTTCTCTTCATGAGCTTGCCCCATTTAATAGCTGCGTATTTGAATATGAGAAATAGTGGGGTAAGAGTGGAAGACTTTACTTAGCGCGATCTCCAGTGTCCAATGCCTTGGTGTTTCCTTGGTCATTCACTCATGACAAACGTAGGTATATACCTTTGATTATTGGTGTTCTAAAATTCATATAATTTACGAATTAATTCTTACATTAATTAACTCTCAAATCACATCCCAATAGGCTATATTTTGGTTATTATCCATAAGTACATTGATTATTCCGCTAGTCGATTCGAGTGGAGTAAGATTACATAGACGACAAAACTCTCTCTATCAAATTTTAACACAACAGCATTCTCAAGACTCAAACTCAAAATCATTAATTAAGCCCTGATAGGCTGTATATATAGATTCAACTAGTACTACTTTGCGACTGCATATGAATATCTTCTTCTAGGTTTGGAAAATCACGGTGTACCCCACGTTTAGAAGTGTTTAAAATTTCATGGGAAGGAGAGGGACGCATGTGCATGAGGTCTCGAACTTTATAGGAATCTCTCCTTTTCATGAAATATTTGTAAGCTACGAGCTTGGCGTTTCTCTAAAGGCCGTGTGTATATATTATTAAATTTGATTTGAAATGGATGAATGAAAGGTAATATATCTAGCCATTATCATTCCAATCTTACTCCAAGTGTATACTATATATCCTTTCAAATGCTACAAAATACAATCCTCCAAGTGACTACACAACAAAGATGTATGAGATAGGAATACACTTAGATATGTGTTCCTTTAAGCTATTCATGTCCCATATCCATGATATGATAGGGATATCTGATTTATTTCTTATCTCTAAGCTTCCCTTACCAGCCTTGCACTTCTCCACAGCCAGCTTGGGATTGGAATCACCCCATATTGCACAAGACCTTTCTGCTTTTACGATTCAATTAAAAATTTCAAATTCTACTTTTTCCACATAATTATTGATTATATCTTCTTTAATTTAATGTGTATGTTGCTACTAGTTATTAAGATCCTCGCTAGGGCTTCCATCCAAGTCATATAAATAGCTAACTAAGCTTTCTGTAGTCGGCGGTGATGATTTGCTAGCTTTATTTAACAATTATGATTGACTAAACAAACACGTTTTTGGAGTATATGGGGGTAAGAATTAACTGATAGCAGTATACTTTAAAATTATTGTTAATCCAATCCATTACATAGTATATGATTAATCTTTACCAAATTCTTCATTAGATTGAAAGTTTATAACCTAAATATAATGTTTTTAAAAGTTCGTATTAACTCAAGATTTTACTCTATTAAGATGTCTTAACATTATATAATAGTTTGCAGAAAAATAAAATTATCATACTCTTGGATAGAGGTGGCAAAGTGGGCGGTCCGCCCTGCCCCGCCATCAACCTGCCAAAAAGTGAGTCAGACCGCCCCGTCCCGCTTTTGAAAGTGGGCTGAAAAACTCAGCCCGCTCTGCCTCGTTTGGCGGATTGGCCCGCCAGCTCGAGCCTATTTTACACTGACCCGCCTCGGCCCGCCTATGTCCGCCATCAACCCGCCAAAAAATGAGCCCACCCCACCCCGCCCTACCCCGCCATGCTTTTGAGATGGGTTGAAAAACTCAGCCCGCCCCGCCCCGTTTGACGGGTTGGGCGGGTTAGCTCGCTGAGCCGAGCCCGTTTTGCCTGCTCTACTCTTGGACACCATTTTTTTTATTTGACATAAAATTTGTAAAATAATTATATATATTTTCTCGGTTCAATTGATTAGAATTATCTATTATAAGAAGTTATTAAGCATAGTTAATGTAAAGATGTATTTCAACTCAAAAGGTTAAATTATTCGGTGAAGTTACATTAATGCTTTTATATTTCTCTAACATGTCCCTTCACATG